CACCCCCACCACCAATTTCCCACACTCCAACCCATTCCCGAGCCGCCCCACAATCTGTACCTGGCGGTAACCCCATCCCAACCCACGCGCGAGAGGAAAAATCCCCAGAAACACTCGCCAAGGACGATGTGCTATTCGCTGGGGTTGGAACATGGGACCTGACGAAATTGCGCGACAGTCGCCACGCACCACTCTCCCGCCACCTCCCACCCGACCCTCGCAAACTTTTCGCCACCGCCTTGCTGGTACCTCTGCTGCGGTTAGCGAACGATCCAAACTCACACTCTGCTTGGGTCGTCCTCTTGTTCCTCGCACGACTCACACTTCGCCAGCTGTCACCCAGGCGTCCAGATTGGAAGGCAGTCAGCGCACGACTTAGCAAATTTATGTGTGGGGACTGGGACGAGCTGTACAAGGACACCGTGGACTCACTGACCTGTCCCCAGCCACCCAGACACCAGCCAGATGACATTGGGGTCATCGCGAGAGCTGAGGGGCTAGCTCGACGTGGCAGCCTGCGACGGGCCGTAATGGCCTTAGAGGCCACGCCAGTTTGCACACCATCGCCGGCTGTGCTGGAGGCACTACGCGCCAAGCACCCACCTGCGCCTGCCTCCCCACCTGACTGGATATTTCCCACACCAGACCCTCACCTCTCGGCGCCTTACGAGGTCTTCTCCAAGGTTTTGGGACGGTGTGAGATGGGAGTAGGAGCTGGGCCATCAGGAACAACGTTCGAACACCTGCGGGACGCAACTCTGATCAACGCTTCGGTGGGGAAGCACCTACATGCGCTAGTCAACACGATACTCACTGGAAAATTACCTCTCGCAGTAGCCGAACTCCTCACCGCCTCTCGCCTGATTGCCCTTACCAAACCAGGAGGGGGGACGAGGCCGATAGCCATCGGCGAAAGCCTCACTCGCCTTGCCGCCAAAACAGCTATTACTTTGACGGCGGGCGCCGCCCGAGAGTTTTTCTTACCCCAGTAGTTTGGTGTAGCAGTACTAGGGGGAGCGGAGGCGATCATCCACATCACGCGAACCTATCTTACCGTCAACCCTGGAGCGCTCGTCCTACAGGCCGATCTGGCGAACGCTTTCAATAGTGTTAGCCGAGGAGCTATCGCGGAGTCGCTTCGGGGATCGACGCTAGCTCCACTACTGCCACTCGAAACTGTCATACGGCCACCCCTCTTCCCTATGCCTGGATGCCGGTTTCTCGCACCCACCACTCTTGAGCGAATCCGGGGTGAGGCAGGGAGATCCCCTCGGCCCCTTGCTGTTTGCTGCCGCCATTCACCCCGCGTTGACGAGCACGGCCCTTACCTTCCCGTCCGTGGTATGCCTGGCATACGCGGACGACGTCACTTTTCTTGGAGAAGCAACGGCTTGTGCGGCGGCGTTTGAACACTTCACGGGAAGCCTCGGGGAGATTGGGCTGCAACACAACCCCGCTAAGTGTGCGGCATGGTCACAGGCGGGCCGTCAGTCAGCACCACTGCCGCAAGGCGTACCTTTCAGTGATGACGGCGTGAAGGTGCTGGGCAGCTTCGTCGGCGGAAACGACGCAACTGCAGCGTTCCTACGCGACAGCCTTGACGCAATGGGAGCCCCACTTCGCTTAATCGCGAGGATGGAGCCACAGCTGGCGTCCCTCTTACTTACCAGATGCATCTCGCGACGAGTCTCCTATGTCGCGCGCACCACACCGCTCTCTCCCCTGCCAGTGGAGGAATGGTCGGACTGGGGCAAGGGATTATTTGACACACTGCTGACGGCTTGTGGCATTCGACACCCAAGGGGGGAGGCTGAGATAGCACGCACCTGGGCCCAAGCCTCACTCCCGATCTCACTTGGAGGCTTGGGACTGGCGGACCCGTCGGTGGAAGGCCGCGTTGGGTTCCTGGCGAGCTACACACAGGCACAGCATTTTCTCACCTCCATTGACAAGGAGGCGGTCGGCGCCTTGGCGGAAACACGGATCCAGATGGCGGGACCCTACCTCAACACGTCCCCGCTGTTTGACTGGTTGGAGAGGTGCGAGGAGATGTTGCCGGAGGACGGGAAGGAGCTGCTGCAGAGCGACCGCGCTGAACCCAAAGGCATCAAGCTGCAGCATGGGCTGGCAGTCGCGGTCCACGGACGCCACTACGCCGAGCAGGTCCAAACCACGCGCGACATGCCGCTCAACCCCCTTAGCGGGCACACGCAGCGTATGCTCTCCCTCTCGGGGTATGGGGCAGGGGACTGGCTCAACGCGGTCCCCTTTAACAAGTCGCTGCGCCTGGCTCTAGATCACTTTGCCCACGCACTGCAGTTCCGAATGGGGCTCCCCTCCTCTGCACCTGGGGCTTGTGACTGCCGCAACAACACGGCAATCACAGACCGGCGGCTGCCCAACCACCTCCTGCGCTGTGACACAGGGAAGGGGAGGACTAACACTCATAACGAGCTGCGGGATGAGTGCTTACGGATGGCCAACGACGCGGACTTCATGACTCACGGAGAGACAACTGCATTCTGCCCCGTCACTAGGAAGAAGGCAGACATAGCAATCAGGGACAAGTCCTCGGGGGTGGTTTGGAATGGGGACGTGACCATCACGGATCCCATAAGCACCCGTGACCCCAACGCAGTCAAGGGCAGGGGGTGGGCAGCCCGTGAAGCAGCAGAGAAGAAGATCTCCGACTACGAGGGCTCAACGGCCTCGTGGGTCGGATTCTTCCCTCTCGCCGTTGACACTTACGGCTGCCCTTGCGCAGAAGTCCCCCAATTCTTCAAGCTGCTAGCCGACACCGCCGCCCGCAGGCTCTTCAACGCGGCCCCCTCATCCTACCAAGCTACAAAGCTGCTGCACCAGTTCCACTAGAGGTGGTCTGTGGCACTGCAGCGGGCCCAGTCAGTGAGCTTTATGGAGAAGTGCAACTACGCGGCACAGGTGGAGAACCCACCTGCGGAGATGCCAGGCGATGGCATGTCCCTTGGGGACTGCCTGGCCATCTTGGAGCCGGTGCTGGAGCTCCCTTAGACGGAGCAAGGGGGGGGGGGGGTGAGTAGGATGTGGGGGTTAGAGGATGAATTGTATGCGATATCTCTATCCTTTGCATGTCTGTACTTGCTTGGATCTAATACACGGACCGCTTGAGAGAGAGAGGAGAGGACGGGGGAGGGAAAGCAGGTGCCATGTTGGGTGTGGAAAGGCAAGGAGGGGAGGTGGTGAAGCATGCTCACCAGCCTACAGATTAGATTGATAGCCATGGTATAGGCTACAACATTGAGGCTGTATTTTGTCGGCGGCATTTGGGATGAGGACCCAATTTCTGTCCAAAACCCTAGTCTTCTATTGTGGGTTATTTCGCCCCCTCCTCCCCCCCACCCCCGCCCAACCCAACACCCCCCCCCCCCAAATTACAAAAACTTCGTCCTTGATTGTGGTGCTTACAGGCTAGCGAGTGACCTGGGAGCGAAGAAATCAGCAGCAGGAGGCAGAGGGCCCCACAGCTCGTTGCTGGACATGACGTTGCTGTGGGGCTAAACCCTAAACCCTAAACCCTAAACCCTAAACCCTAAACCCTGCTAAACCCTAAACCCTAAACCCTGATACTCTGACCCTAAACCCTAAACCCTAAACCCTAAACCCTAAACCCTAAACCCTAAACCCTTGGTGAACGGTTTGGTCAGAGGAAACCCTTTGGTTGGACGAGGGTGGAGGTTGACAATGATTGACTGCAAGCAGATAGCATTACAATAAAATAATGCACCAGCCCAGTAATTGCCGTGCCCACAAATGGGTGGACGGTTGTGCACAACCCCCCTGAAGCCCATCCCCTCCCCACCCACCATACGAGCATTCCAACCACACGTCTTTGCCTGGTTCAATCCGCATCTCACAAGTAACGAAATTTGGGCCACGCATGGCTTTTCAGTTGACCAAAGAATCTGACGAGTCCGCTGCGCATCTTACACGGTTTGAATTACTGTGACTTTGAGTCGACTCAAAAGTTACCTTTTTCAGTTGACCAATGACTGACCTAGTCTGATTCGCATCTCACAGTATCTGAATCTGGGTGAGGTTGCCGAGGCCGGGTGGCAGCCCCCCGACATCTGGTTCTGCGATACTTCAAGCCACGTCAGCCGGCTGAGCAAGGAGATGCCACGTGGCAGCGACCCTGTGATGCGATTATCGCTCACATCGCTGCCAGCATCACAAAAATGTGTGTGTCTGAAAATCATATGACGTTCCCACCGGCCGATCGTAGGTTTGACAAACGTTTGAAAAACGTACAGAAAACCTACAAAAAACGTTTGTCCCTCTTGAGACGTTTTCGAGACACTAATCGTATGTTTCCGCTCAATGTTTCTTGCCTGTTGCTGCAGCATTAGGGTTTCGCGACCAAGAGGGGTTGGAGCTGGTCTCGTCGCTTGGAAGAAGTGTGCTGTAAATTTGTTCTCGATATAAATGTCTCGTTTTTACTTCTGTGCATTGTTTGTTCCCATCAAGACATTTGAAGATAATTCTCTGAATTTGAAGATTCCACTAGGGAACATGTGTTTCCAAGAGTCATATTTAACCAGTGGTTATTAATTTTGCGCCTATTAGATCAAAGAAATGCCTAAACATATCAATATTCTAGGATCAAAATCAACGTTTGCCAAAGTCACATTGGGTCAAACTTCATGACGATTGCAAGACCTCACCATACAAATCTGTTGAGGAGGCTCACTTCATCGTCCTCGCACGAGGGTACAACGTGCACGAGACTAAGAATGCAGTCTACATCGATCACGGCATAATTATCAACGCCTTCTGTGGGTAGAAGACGCTTGCATCCCGTCGACGGGCATTGACGCTTGTCTTCCGTGTAGTACTCCACATATGCGCCTCGCCTCAGCTCACCACCCTTGTTGTAATGAAACAGCACAAGGCAACGGCCATACCACGGGGAACCCTTCCCTGCAGGGTTGATCGCGATCGCCGAGAAGTTCTTCTCGGCTGGGCTAGCCTTGACAAACTGCCCCCGTGACGTCCATTCCATCTTGTCGTGTGGCGGAATCGCAAGTGCTGTGTGCACCTGACACCACGAGCATTCTACAAAGCAAATGGGAAAGCAGGGAAAGAGGGGGTGGAGAGCATAAGGAAAAGGGGGAATTGGCCAAGGATTGGGTGGAAAGCAAGCTGGAGAGGGGGAACGAGGGTTGGGAGGGGGTGGGAAGGAAACTGGAGAGGGGGAACGAGGGTTGGAGGGGGTGGGAAGCAAGCAGGAGAGGGGGAACGAGGGTTGGAGGGGGTGGGAAGCAAGCAGGAGAGGGGGAACGAGGGTTGGAGGGGGTGGGAAGCAAGCAGGAGAGGGGGAACGAGGGTTGGAGGGGGTGGGAAGCAAGCAGGAGAGGGGGAACGAGGGTTGGAGGGGGTGGCAAGCAAGCAGGAGAGGGGGAACGAGGGTTGGAGGGGGTGGAAAGCAAGCAGGAGAGGGGGAACGAGGGTTGGAGGGGGTGGCAAGCAAGCAGGAGAGGGGGAACGAGGGTTGGAGGGGGTGCGAAGCAAGCAGGAGAGGGTTTACGAGGGTTGGAGGGGGTGGCAAGCAAGCAGGAGAGGGGGGACGAGGGTTGTAGGGGGTGGGAAGCAAGCAGGAGAGGGGGAACGAGGGTTGTAGGGGGTGGGAAGCAAGCAGGAGAGGGGGGACGAGTGTTGGAGGGGGTGGGAAGCAAGCAGGAGAGGGGGGACGAGGGTTGGAGGGGGTGGGAAGCAAGCAGGAGAGGGGGGACGAGGGTTGGAGGGGGTGGGAAGCAAGCAGGAGAGGGGGAACGATGGTTGGAGGGGGTGCAAGCAAGCAGGAGAGGGGGAACGAGGGTTGGAGGGGGTGGGAAGCAAGCAGGAGAGGGGGAACGATGGTTGGAGGGGGTGCAAGCAAGCAGGAGAGGGGGAACGAGGGTTGGAGGGGGTGGGAAGCAAGCAGGAGAGGGGGAACGAGGGTTGGAGGGGGTGGGAAGCAAGCAGGAGAGGGGGAACGAGGGTTGGAGGGGGTGGGAAGCAAGCAGGAGAGGGGGAACGAGGGTTGGAGGGGGTGGGAAGCAAGCAGGAGAGGGGGAACGAGGGTTGGAGGGGGTGGGAAGCAAGCAGGAGAGGGGGAACGAGGGTTGGAGGGGGTGGGAAGCAAGCAGGAGAGGGGGAACGAGGGTTGGAGGGGGTGGGAAGCAAGCAGGAGAGGGGGAACGAGGGTTGGAGGGGGTGGGAAGGAAGCAGGAGAGGGGGAACGAGGGTTGGAGGGGGTGGGAAGCAAGCAGGAGAGGGGGAACGAGGGTTGGAGGGGGTGGGAAGCAAGCAGGAGAGGGGGAACGAGGGTTGGAGGGGGTGGGAAGCAAGCAGGAGAGGGGGAACGAGGGTTGGAGGGGGTGGGAAGCAAGCAGGAGAGGGGGAACGAGGGTTGGAGGGGGTGGGAAGTAAGCAGGAGAGGGGGAACGAGGGTTGGAGGGGGTGGGAAGCAAGCAGGAGAGGGGGAACGAGGGTTGGAGGGGGTGGGAAGCAAGCAGGAGAGGGGGAACGAGGGTTGGAGGGGGTGAGAAGCAAGCAGGAGAGGGGGAACGAGGGTTGGAGGGGGTGGGAAGGAAGCAGGAGAGGGGGAACGAGGGTTGGAGGGGGTGGGAAGCAAGCAGGAGAGGGGGAACGAGGGTTGGAGGGGGTGGGAAGCAAGCAGGAGAGGGGGAACGAGGGTTGGAGGGGGTGGGAAGCAAGCAGGAGAGGGGGAACGAGGGTTGGAGGGGGTGGGAAGGAAGCAGGAGAGGGGGAACGAGGGTTGGAGGGGGTGGGAAGCAAGCAGGAGAGGGGGAACGAGGGTTGGAGGGGGTGGGAAGCAAGCAGGAGAGGGGGAACGAGGGTTGGAGGGGGTGGGAAGGAAGCAGGAGAGGGGGAACGAGGGTTGGAGGGGGTGGGAAGCAAGCAGGAGAGGGGGAACGAGGGTTGGAGGGGGTGGGAAGCAAGCAGGAGAGGGGGAACGAGGGTTGGAGGGGGTGGGAAGCAAGCAGGAGAGGGGGAACGAGGGTTGGAGGGGGTGGGAAGCAAGCAGGAGAGGGGGAACGAGGGTTGGAGGGGGTGGGAAGCAAGCAGGAGAGGGGGAACGAGGGTTGGAGGGGGTGGGAAGCAAGCAGGAGAGGGGGAACGAGGGTTGGAGGGGGTGGGAAGCAAGCAGGAGAGGGGGAACGAGGGTTGGAGGGGGTGGGAAGCAAGCAGGAGAGGGGGAACGAGGGTTGGAGGGGGTGGGAAGCAAGCAGGAGAGGGGGAACGAGGGTTGGAGGGGGTGGGAAGCAAGCAGGAGAGGGGGAACGAGGGTTGGAGGGGGTGGGAAGCAAGCAGGAGAGGGGGAACGAGGGTTGGAGGGGGTGGGAAGCAAGCAGGAGAGGGGGAACGAGGGTTGGAGGGGGTGGGAAGCAAGCAGGAGAGGGGGAACGAGGGTTGGAGGGGGTGGGAAGCAAGCAGGAGAGGGGGAACGAGGGTTGGAGGGGGTGGGAAGCACCTGCAAGACTTCCGTGTTGATGCCCGCCTTTTTTAGGCGCAGAACCATCGCACTCATGGCGGGTTCACCCAGCGTCAAGACGTAGCTCCGAAACACCGAGTCGGTGATGTCCCCAATGACCATCCTCTTGTGGGTCTTTGTAAGCACCCTCCGGCCGGCCCGGCATGCCTGTCACCATGGTGAGAAGAGGGTTTGGATGGGGATGGGGTGGGGTGAATGGTGTGGGTTGAGGAGGGTGAAGGAGGGGGGGAAAGGGGATGGATGCAGGGGAGAAGGAGACGGCCAGGGAAGGGGGGAAATGGGGGTGGGGGAAAGGGGCCGAGTTTGTGGGGACAAAGAAGGGGATGGGGGGGTAGGATTTGATCACTGAAGTTTCGGCTGGGCCTATATCTGAATGCCAACTTAAGCAGAGAACAGGGAAATTCGGGGGGGAAACATGTCAGGGGAACATAGAGAGAAACAGAGCAGGGAACAGAGGAGGGCAAATAGAGAACGGAAGAGAGCAGGGCAAACAGGGCAGACAACAGGGCAGGGAAAACAGAGCAGGGCACAGAGGTACGCAAAAAGAGAAGGGATCAGAGGAGGGAAAACAGAACAGTGCACAGAGCAGGGAACAGGGAAGGGGAAATGACTAGGGGAACAGAGCAGGGGAACGGAGCAAGAGAGGCGAGCACTGAAACAGATCAGGGGAAACAGTGAAGGGAACAGAGCAAAAGAACCATACAGGGATTACCAGAGCAGGGAAACAAAGTAGAGGAAGGTGTGCAGGGGAACAGAGCAAGGGGGACATTCTATAAATTACCTCTTTCATCGAAGTCTCGTACGTGTTGTCCCCGCCGGCCTCCCGCGCTAGTTGTCTAACTACCGCATGCTCCAGGTGTTTCCGAACGATGCGATCTTCAACATTCTTCCAGTTTGTGCCACGTGAAGGACGCTTCACAGTGGTCTTGTGGGAGTGCTCGTAACAGTTCGACGAGTACTCGGCAGGGATTCCCCGAAGACGGATGGTTGACGGGAGGTGAACGAGGAGATGAATCTTCACTATTTTCCACTTTGACTTCTGCTTAGGGAATGCAACACGCAGAGCCTTCACCATGCTGGGGAGAGACAGTCGAGAGCATGCATGCAGTTAAGGGGTGGAATGCAGGCCAGTAAGGGAGAAACGGCACGAGGGAGGGAGGGTGAGGAAGCATGCAGTCAAGGGGAAAAAAGGGCAGGAGGGAGGTCAAGCAGGTGGGGTATGGAAGAACAAGGATGCAAGGGGTTAAAACAAGATGAAAGAGGGGGGGGTGGAGCATGGTGGCACGGTTGAAACAAGGAAAATGGGTGTATGTGGTAATGAATGGCTTGGAACCGACACAACAATAAGAGTAACCACCTGATGGTGGCGTCTTTCATCCGTTTCAGGGAATCGTCGGTGTGATACTCAGCGCGAATGAACTCCTTATACCACTCGACCATGAGCACGATTGCCGTCCGGACATCTTTCCGTCCTGGGAGATCGATGATGAGAGGCAGGACCTGCATCATCGCACGATGCTCTGAAGCTGAAAAGCAGGCAGTGGATGTGAAGTAGGCCCACGCCGATGGCAGACGGAGCACGGATGCTGGTGTGACCTCCTTCAACATCTTGTATCGCCTAGAGGGGAGGAACAGTTCAGCAAGGCGCGGAAAGCAGCGAAGGAGGGGAGGAACAGTTCAGCAAGGCGCGGAAAGCAGGGAAGGAGGGGAGGAACAGTTCAGCAATGCGCGGAAAGCAGGGAAGGAGGGAAGGAGGGGAGGAACAGTTCAGCAAGGCGCAGAAAGCAGGGAAGGAGGGGAGGAACAGTTCAGCAAGGCGCAGAAAGCAGGGAAGGAGGGGAGGAACAGTTCAGCAAGGCGCGGAAAGCAACGAAGGAGGGGAAGAACAGTTCAGCAAGGCGCGGAAAGCAGGGAAGGAGGGGAGGAACAGTTCAGCAATGCGCGGAAAGCAGGGAAGGAGGGGAGGAACAGTTCAGCAAGGTAGGGTACCCGCGCCCTGAGCTTGCTTTGCTTTGCTTTGACTGGTCTTGTGACCATCTGGTTGTCTCCCACTTAGCCTATGGGGGTGTGTCAAACATTATACATGTTCCTATTGTGTAGGCTATAGTGGGTTTAGCCTTAGGGGGTACAACATTGCTAGGGTTTCCTACTTGTATCACCCTGCTGCCTAGTTTCATCCATTCTCGTTGAGTTCTAGATTCTAACACCATGGTAAGGAAGGCGTCACGCGCAGTAGCAAGGCGGACAGAGAGGCAAGTCGTGAGGAGGTGAAGGGTGAGATACATGGGGGAGGGGAATCGTGTAAGTTGCTCAGTAGTGCAAGCATCACAGTAGCGAGCGTCATTGAGCGAAGGTGAATGATCTGGTCAGCAATAGTGAGGAAAGTAGGCAAGCCAGGAAAGAGAAACATCATGATGTGACGGCCTAGGGTACCGTATTTACCCGGGTAATAAACCCGGGGGTCTAATCCTACCCCGGGAAAAAAAGGGGGGTGGGTCTATTAAGTGGGTGTAAATTTAATAGACCCGGGGTCTAATCCTATGTGCATTTATAGTTTCCAAGTCATTAAAAATACCAGTGTTCCAGCCCAGAAACGAGAATTCCAATGTTGCGTCAGGGAAATTTTGACCACAGCCTGACGCGAGGCACGAGCGCGTCAGATTCTGCAGTCAAGTCAGTCAAATTTTGCTATAGCAAGCTGTCCCTTCTCACAGTCTCGCTAAAAATAGAAGTACATACAGTGAGGGGGGGCTAATCCGGATTCGTTAAAACAAAGGGGGTCTATTACGAAAGTGCATATAGCATTAGAACCCCCCCCCATTTAACGACCCGGGGGTCTATAATTTTGGGGGGTCCATTTCCCGGGTAAATACAGTAGCAGAAGAAAGGGTTGAGTAACGAGCAGTGAAGTACTCCTTTGCCTTCTTGATCTGGCGGTAGTGCACGCGCTCGGTAGGACGGAGGAGGCGACTAAGAGCAAGACGTGCAGCTGCGTCGCGCGACACCCAGACCGAGTGCTTCGCCAGGGCCGCAGCGTGGGCCTCTCGTGCTGCTGTGGAAGCGTCATCAGCAAGAGCTGGGGGGCGTGGGGGGGCACACAGCCCATACGACATGTGGGCATACAGGTGCATACTATCCTTTTGCTGGCTCGTTACCCGCCTCCCTGACACTCTTCGCTCCGTCAGGGACCACTTTCTCGCGCTAGACCCTACCACTCTCACTGTCGACGACTTCGAGAAGCACCTCCTAGCAGCCGAAAAGAACATTCTCGCTGTAGGTGCTGCTCGTGGCACTCCTCGCACTCCCCTCTTTGAGGGGTGCTCCCCCTCCCCTCTTGCCCCCTCCTATGCCTCCGCTGCTGCTGCTCTCGACTACCTTGGTGCTGAGGAGGTCGGGGCTGCTTCCGCTCCTAGTGGGAAGCGCCGCAGCGCCAGGGACGGCAAGGGTGGCAGGGGAGGTGGAGGTGGCGGTGGAGGGGGCGGTGGTGGAGGCGGCGGGGAAGGTGGAGGTGGTGGGGGTGGTCGTGGGGGTGGAGGTGGTGGTGGGGGCGGCGGTGGCACTGGGAGCGGTGGAGGTGGCAGCGGCGGTAGTGGGGGAGGAGGGAGCGGTGGTGGCAGCGGTGGTGGGGGCTGGAGTGGATCCGGCCAGAAGGGGAGCTCCGGTGGTGGCCAGGGACAGCAGCAGCAGCAGCAGCAGCAGCCGCAGCAGCAGCAGCAGCAGCAGAGCCAGCGTGAGACCCCCACGACTCAGCAGCTTCGTGACTGGTATGCTCAGTGTGGGGCGTCTGGGGGTCCTGTTCGCTGCCCCTATATCATTCGCACGGGTCCCCGCACTGGTCGCCCATGCAACGGTGTTCACACTGAGTACCGCTGCTTCTCTCGGCTTAGCGACGCCTGGCGCGCCAAGTTTCTGGAGGCTACTGAGTTTCCCCACTGGGCAGACCTGTCTAGGCGTGGTGTTCCTATCTTTGATCTTGACTATGATGCAATTCTTGCTGCCATGTATGCATTGACTGTTAGTGCTGAGGGTGAGTGCTACTTGTGTATGCCGCCTGACCCAGGTATAGAGTCTGCAGCCCTAGGTGCTAGCGAGTCTGCTCTCCCTGGTACTGCGTCCGCTCAGGCTTTGCACACCTTTACACTTGACTCTGGTGCTTCCCGCTGTTTCTTTCGCGATAGCACCACATTCACTCCCCTCCCTGCACCTGTCCCTGTCTCACTGGCTGACCCCTCTGGGGGCCCAATGCTAGCACGGACCACTACTGTGCTTCCGTGTCCGGCGGTCCCGTCTGGTGAGCTGTCTGGTCTCCACCTCCCCTCGTTCTCTACGAACCTGGTGAGCACCGCCGTCCTTCAGGATCACTGGGTTGACACCTTTACTCCTGGAGGACAGCGTGTGGCGATCTGCACGTGCTCTAGGACCGGCCGCCACCTGGCCACGTTCACACGTGCGCCTGGGTCCAGTCTGTACACCCTCACCACTGCGTCGCGCTCCACCCCTTAGTCTCCTCAGCTATACGCGTCCGCTCAGGTAGCTACCCGGTGTGAGTGTCGCAGCCTGTCGCACCAGACTCTCCTTTGGCACCACCGCCTTGGTCACCCCTCCCTGCCTCGCCTTCGTGGCATGCACTCTCGCCACCTGGTCTCTGGTCTTCCCAGATCTCTGCCCTCCCTCCCTCCCTCGCCTGCGCCACCCTGCATTCCTTGCGTCGAGGGGCGGCAGCGCGCCGCTCCTCACTCCTCCTCGTTCCCTCCGACAGAGGCTCCGCTGCAGACTCTACACCTGGACGTGTGGGGCCCAGCCCGCGTCCGTGGACAGGGCCACGAGCGGTACTTCCTGCTGGTAGTCGACGACTACACGCGTTACACCACGGTCTTCCCCTTGCAGCGCAAGGGGGATGTCTCTGATATTTTGATCCCTTGGATCCGCGCTGTTCGTCTCCAGCTCCGCGAGCGGTTCCACTCGGACTTTCCTGTGCTGCGTCTGCACTCCGACAGAGGTGGTGAGTTCACCTCCAACCTCTTGCGAGCCTACTG